TCAGTGGATAATCTCTGATATCAGTGCCAAGTGTGCCACTGGTAATCAATGAATTAAATGTGAGATCCCTAACCTAGCTAATCTTTATTATGTGATCTAATTAACCTTATTTTAATGCTTAAATTCAATGAATATGGTATTGAAAGATTGAAATTAATATGCATATCAATATTTTAGTTATTAATGCTCAAATATTCTTTCTTTTTTAGTTAAACTTCACTGATTATCAGTACCAAATATGCCACTGGATAATTAGTGACTATTCACTGATTCAGATTTAAAGAATAGACAAAAAAAATATATAAATTTTAAGTTCATAATACAATGCGATACACTCCTCTATACGAAAAGATATAATACAAGAGAAAAATAAAAAGAGAGAAAGAAATACAGATAATACTAAACTAAAAATCGTTCTTGGAGCATTTCTGCATTCAATTTAAATCACTGGATATCTTTCATAATGTAAATTATAGTTAATACCTCACGCGGATACTTTTAACTTTGCAACTTTATGCCTAAATAATTTAACATCTCGGAGGTCCTTGCTGAGGAATTCGAAAGGGATGTCATGCACGCGTACACCTTTTATTTCTGCTGGCTGTCCGACTTTTTCGTCGCGCGCGAAGAATTTAACGCTACCGAGAAAACTGAGATAGTCTCTCTCTCTCTCTCTCTCTCTCTCTCTCTCTCTCTCTCTCTCTCTCTCTTTCTCTCCCTCCCCCTCCCCCTCCCTCTCTCTCTTTCTGTCTCTCTCTTTTCCCATGACACGGGTTCGGCCATTTCGAAGGGGATGCCTGAGCAAGTCCGCCTGGGCGCTCAGCGGCAGAGGTTTAAGACTGCGGAGTTAAGCTCGGGGCCCGGAACCGGAGAATGTGGTCTTCCCCGGGCCGGGCGTGTAACTACATCATGCCAAGAGTATTCGAAATACTCGGCGATGAAGTATGCCACGGTATCAGAGGTCTGCGGCCTGTAACAAAGCAAGCCCTCCGGGCACCGAGTTTACACACGAGCCCAAGCATCCGCCGCCGCCGCCAGCTAGGGAACGAATGCTAATGCAACCTCGAAAACTTTGTCATCGATGCCAACGACCCGTTATGAGAGCGATACGCTACCATGAAGCTAATCGAGTCGACCCAAACCTACATAAAATCTACTTGAAACATTTTGTTAAAATTCTTGATTAGTCGCCACGGCCATATATTAAATTGTGACGTTATAAGCGAGAAATAACTCGTTGAAATTTCTTTCATGCCATTTGTAAGTAAAGAACATTTTAATAAAATACAATAATAAGACCGCTTTAAAATACTTATAAAAATAGGCAGAAAGTGACCCTCAGCTTAAGCCTATTTATTTTAACTTACATGTCTTTTACGACTATTTATCTACTGACTATCAGGGGAGATAATTTTGACTCATTTTTTTAAATATTTTAAAGCGATCTCATTATTCTATTTCATCCAAATTCTCTTTACGTATAAATGGCATATAAGAAATTTCTACGTGTCATTTCTCGCTCATAACATCACAAACCAATAGAGGTTAGTCAGGAGCCTTTAATTTGAGTAGCTTAATTTGAATAACAAGCTTCTCCGCACTAAACAATATGATGATTAGAAGTCACCCGTTGCAACTTTAAAATAATATTTCCACATTATTTGTTTAGTTAACGACAGCCGTCCAATTTAAATAGATACGTACGTTAGTTATGTCTAAGATAAAATAACGATAAATGAGCAAATAAAAAAAATGCATGTAACGCTTTATGTTCATTTTTTTTTACTCTTTTAAATATGCAAAAGTAAAGATCTTACTATTTTATTCTCTACATTGATTGGCCCATTAAAAGAACAAAGGATTTTAATGTGCCATTATGGGTTTAAAATGTATTCGTTAATTTTTTATGACCTAAAATTTTATTCAGCGCCGGAATATCCGCCCGTTTCAATTAACCATTTCACTCAGCCTACATTACTTTCTATCCTGCTTTCATTTTATATTTTATATATAGTATATTTACATATTTTACACTATATTACATAATAGTTAAATATAATATAAATGTATGATCTTTAGTTATTTTATTATTTATTTAATACTATCACTCTTTGGAATACTGTAAAAATTAAAAAAAAAATTTTAAGACAAATTTAAATATTTATTAAATCTCATATTATACATTATATAAGGTGTCTCACTACCGCATTTCCTCTTAAAAACATTCTCGAGATAATTTTAAAATGAAAATTTTAATACAAAAATGTCAAGGCTACAATAGTTTTTATAATTAATAAATCAAGGCTTTTTTAAACGAGCAATTATTGTTATTCATATAATAAAATTTGTTTTTAATTAAATAAGTACAATGCTATAAAGTTTTTTGAATGTTTCGACTTACAAAATCTTTCTCAGTGAAATACTATACATAACAACATTTTTATAGTATAACCCCTTATAAAGTCAACAAACTTAATAGAATAAAAATAGCTTAAAGCGATAATTTTTATTATTGTATAATTGTAAGTTCGTTGATTTTGGGTTTTAAGGGTCATCTTTGCGTAATTCATATGTACGTATACAAAGAATTCGTCCAGAAAAATGCAATTCATTGCCGGAACGTGTTCCGGTTTCGACCCTTCGTCTTCTATCTCACAGTCAAGTGTATCTTTCGTCTAAAGGACGGCCAGCATGGCGGAACAATGCTTTTAACTTTACAGTGCCATTCAAGTGCGCTCTCTCGACCCCCAGTTATACTACAGGGTCGGTTGTTAACCCAACGCTGAGAGGGTTGAGATTTCAGGCAATAAAACCGGCGTGATTCTTCGTATTTAATTCGGCTCAATAGCAACTCCTGCTATACGGAGTCGACAAATGCACAGTCTTTGAAAATCTGTGATATTCTGATATATCAATGTTTTTTCTCGATTTGCAATGGGGTTAAATGTGCGTATATATGTGTTATGTGTGGCAGTCGTTAAAATACAAATATAACTAAGATTCATAAGTAATATACATTATAATAGATAAGTATATATCAATCTAGTAATAATTTTTTCAATGTTACACTGAGAAAAATAATCTGGTTGAATTAAATAGTAATTCTAATGGAAAATGAACGAATCAGAATTTTCTAGTTAAATCTATTAGAATTTTAGTCGGAATAATTGGAATTCTAATTGATATAATTTTTCATTCTAATAAAAATAAGAATAGTAGATTTGACCAGAAATATTGTATCAAACAGAATCCCGGTTATCTCAACTAGGATTCTAATAAATTTAACTAGAAAATTCTGATTCGTCCATTACCAACCAGAAATTTTTTTCAGTGTATCTTTACATTATACAAGATATGTAAGGACATCAATAACAAATAAAAAATAGATGTAATATGATATATTTAATTATTCTATTAAGGTCCATAATTACATCAGCAACGATAGCAAAAAAAAATAATTGCAAATAGGACCAGAGCATCAAAAAAATATCTAACATAAAAAGCACATTATTGAAATCATTGTGCAGCTAATTGGCATAAACAATTAAATATTAATTATAGAAGGAAATTGATTTAATTATGGGCCTTAATGGGTTAATATTATATTATTGTTATCAAATATATTACTTAATAATTTATTCACCCTTAAAATTTCTCATACTGTTCTTTCATTAAACTTATATTGTGCTTATATATTTATAAATTCATAATATCTCCTTTGAGTGGCAAGAAGCAAAGATTTGATACTCATTTTCAAGCTAGAAATATGCAGATATGTATGTCAAAAACGTAAAAATTAATTGCAAAGTACAGGTGCAAGTTTAACATAAATTGTCATCAAAATTTAATATAAAATTAAAAAATTAATAAATAACACTCATGATCAGACGGTAGGAAAATTCAGTTTACGAAAGTAAGACTGTGTTACGTATTCAACCTTTACACCATAAGTTCTTGCATATTAACTTGGGTAGATTTTTTAGTTAATGTAAATATGTGCTCGTTACCGTCAGCATATATAACATCTTTAATACTTGAATTTAGAGTAGCAATGCTTTCCGCAATTAGACACCGTGTTCGCAGAACAATGTAATGTTCGCAGAGTTCTCTCCAGACGCCGGAATATAATATCATTCCCCAGTTCGCCGTTTTAATATTAGATACGAGGTAAAAATCATTAAATTGTATAATATATACGTATATCTTCAATAGTGAAATTAGCATATTGGATAACAAAGATTGGCCTTATTCAAATGATGCAAATGTGATTAATATCATTTAGTCATATTATATATATTTAACATGTTCTAAACAATGATATAATAATTT